TTTGATGAAAGACTATAACAAAAATGTCCGCCCCATGGAGAATAGTGGAGATGTTACCAAAGTGCACATCAAGATGACCCTGACAAACCTAATTTCTCTGGTCTGTATGTGCCTGTCTAATCTATTTTGTATGTGATATCTCTCTGAGCTCTAACAAATTAAAAATATCCCCACAGAATGAAAAAGAGGAGGCCTTGACGACAAGTGTGTGGATAGAAATGGTAATCTATTTGTTTATCATTTCCTACATTCAGGAAAGTCAGTAAAGTTTTTAACGGCCCAGTTGTGGCATTTGCAGCAATGGTGTGACTATCGGCTGAGGTGGGACCAGAGGCCCAGGTCAGATCTGTATGGAAATATAACATCTCCCTTAAGAGTGCCATCTCAAAGCATATGGCTGCCAGACATCATCCTAGAAAACAAGTGAGTCTGCAAACACCATCATAACATTACCCAAGTCATATTGATGCATTGATCATCATCTGTAGAAGATTGGTAGAAACATGATTCCAAATCATCAACTATGTCACCTCTGACCACTACCATCGCTCACACACAATATTTACTCATGGACGAGGTAGGTGAGTAAAGTGTCTTGCCCAGGTATACAACAACACTGTGCACTGGTTGGAAATGGGACAGAACTAAGAATTTAGAACTGAGCCTCAATTTTTTTGGTTTTGTAGGTAATTCCTGATAGTATATGCATACTACAGTATTGCCAAAGCAAAAACAATTACTCTCTGATTCAATTTAAGAATTATTTGATCAAAATTGTATGTAATTTAAAGGTGCATTGTGTAACTTTCCAGGAGGTGGGTCCACCACCATGGAGAGTTGTTGCTTTGCCTGGATTTTTTCACAGTATAATATTAAACACATATTATATTCAAACTTTTCCCATCGAGACAAACACCATGTTAAGTTACAAGTCCGATTTGTGGAAAGGTGGGTCCACTTACATTAGAATGTCTGTTTTTTAAGGTATTGTTTTACTGAGAAAAAAACACCTAGAAATAAATAATAAGCAAGTTTTATACCATACTATGCGGTACATTCCAGGAAACGCAATCTCCCTAGAATAAATCCATGGACACAATCAGGTGCTGGACTGGTACAAGAAAAGTTACATAATGCATCTTTAATGAAAGTGCTACCATGAAATACTGAGTTCTTCTCATTGCCATTGTCTGACTGCAGTGTGGACGGACAGTTTGAAGTGGCACTATACTGCAATGCCCTTGTCTCTCCTGATGGCTGTGTCTACTGGCTGCCTCCTGCTATTTACCGCAGCGCATGCACCATCACTGTCAACTACTTCCCCTTTGACTGGCAGAACTGCACTATGGTGTTTCGGTAAGTGGACCTCATCAAAACCACAAAAGACATGCAGATTACAGTAAACAAAAGTATCTAGGCTGTCTCTTGTAGCCATGGGGCTGTTTATGACCTGCCTTGTATATACAAATGAATGACACCATTAGTCTTGTCTTGTTTTCTCAGTTCCCAGACGTACAGTGCAAACGAGATAGAGATTGTCCTGAAAGAAGAGGACAACTACACTTTAGAGTGGGTGGACATAGACCCAGAGGCTTTTACAGGTAGATACATAATGGAATACACATGGTACTCAAAGAATACTTTAGTAAAACTGGGGTAAAAGTATTGTTACTACATAGTAATGCTGCTTAAATAAAAGTATAAAAAGACTACAACTTTAAAGAGTACTGGTTGTTTTAACTGCACTACTATTATGGTGCATATTCCTGTACAGTATAGTTTAATGGATAACTACTGGATTGTTACTATTAAGTTGATAACTACGCTACTACCTCTGAGATTGTTATGAATTAAAGAAAATTCTTAAAACTCTAAAACATGCTGAAGCTGTTAAGTAAAATTGTCTAGAATAGTTTGGTTTTCATTTTTGTTGGCTTTAGAAAATGGCGAGTGGGTGATTAAACACAGGCCTGCAAAGAAGTTGATAAACCCACAGTACACTAAAGATGACCTGGAGTACCAGGAGGTGGTATTCTTCCTCATTATTCAGAGAAAACCACTTTTCTACATCATCAACATCATCGCTCCCTGTGTCCTCTTCTCCTCTCTCGGGCTGCTGGTTTACTATTTACCAGCAAAAGGTACTTGCTATTCATCATCTGTCCATGAGTTCCCTACAAAGTCCTACAAATGGTGTCCGATACAGAAAAAAATAACTGTTATTGATCTCACCTACAGCAGAGTGTGTTTGGTACTTGGACAGGGCTGTTTTCATTTGGCATTTTGGCCTCCTCCCACTGTTCAAAAACATGCATGTGTTAGGCCAATATGTCCATATTAAATCAATACATAATAGAGAGAAATAGAGAGACAATGAATTGTTAAAATATGCATATGACTGCAGCTGGGGGTCAGAAGTGCTTTATGTCCATTGCCACTCTCCTGGGCCAAACTGTTTTTGTGTGCCTGATTGCTAAAAAGGTTCCAGAGACATCACAAGCGGTCCCTCTTATTGGAAAGTAAGTTTTATAACAATATCTTTTGTAGTTGTTTTTAAAGTGTTGCATAAGTTGCATATCCTTGTATTTCAGATATTTGATGTTTGCGATGTCAGTGACAACTACAGTAGTGATGAACTGTGTGATAGTTCTAAATGTCTCCCAAAGAACCCCAAACACTCACAAAATGACAGACAGCGTGCGAAAGGTGAGACTGTGGCCAAAGCGAGCCATTTTGTAAGTGACATTTTCCTCTAAGCAACCTTTGTATATTCTCATTTATATGAGTTATATGATGAATCTGAATGCATTCCTAATTACTCATTTATAATTTACAGATCCTCCTCAACACTTTGCCTCGTTTACTAAGGATGCAGATGCAGCCTTGGATGCCGGAACAGGACATGATTGCCAAAATAGGGAATGGTCACGCAGCAGACAACAACAGTGCATACATACCTCACTGCAGACGCCGCAGCTCAATGGCCCTCATCACTAAAGCAGAGGAATACATGCTTAGAACCTCACGCTCCGAACTCATGTTTAAAAGACTGAAAGAGAGAAATGGGCTCATGAAGGCAGTGCTGGACAAACTGCGTGAGTATTTGATTCAATTTCATTTAAAGGTGCACTGTTTAACTTTTCTGTTGGAGGCCCCTTAAATGCTTATTTCCAAGGAAATGTTATTGCTTTGTCTGGTGGACTGGTCTGGTGATGGACTCCCAACCAAAAAGATATATCGTGCACCTTTAAGAAACAAGGACTAAGTCTTTTTAGATTAACATGTGGCTCTCCTGTTATTTTGCTTAGATAATGGTCTGCAAGGGGGAACAGCTGAGCATCTCTGTGCCAGCTTGGCAAATGCTTCAGTGGAGCTGAGGCAGTGCGTAGCTTCCTGTAAGCACATAGCAGCGACCACAAAACAAAAGAATGTTTTTCAGAATGTAAGTTCAAAAGGAAAATATTTCTTTATCTTTATTTTATTCTGTATATTTATTAATTTATTGACATAATTTTACCACAGTGAAATTGCTCAAAAATAAATAAATCTAGTATGTACACAGCCAGACAAAACATGTGATACACTTTCTTCTCCATTGTCTTTTGTTTTCATTATTTTTTACTACTTTCTATTTTACTTACTGAAGACATCAAATATATAAAGCCAAGAAAAGGTTAAATAACTCTAAATATGGTTAATATTTTAGTTTCAGATCTCAAACTTGCCACCCATTACTTTGTTGGCAGCACTGCACACCCACGACCTTCTCTCAGTTAGTTTCATGGTGAAGTCACCTGAAATGTTTTTTCACGTCACAGGCGTGCCTTCATTGCCTATAGCGTGTAAAGCAGTGACTAAAGCATAGGGTGGCTATTCTGAAGAATTTAAAACATAGAATAGTTGGTTATTTCACTCGTTCTTGTTTACAACATACCCTGTATGTTTATGTGCAATTTTGATGCCTTCAATGAAAATCTACAATGTAAATAGTCATGAAATGGTCATTAAAGGACTATTTCTAAACTTTGACTGGCAGTATCTTTACAGTATCTTTACAGATCTTTGTACAGAAGACTTGATATTTGACTTAACTTTTGTAACTGCAGGAAAATGAAGAATGGTTCCTTGTGGCACGAGTGATTGACAGGGCCTGTTTCATTGTGATGGCCCTGGTGTTTTGGATTGGTACAGTGGCCATATTTCTCATGGGACATTTCAATAAAGCACCCTCTTCACCTTTTCCTGGGGACCCAAAGACCTACCTCCCCCCAACAAACTTAACGGAGAGTGACTTTTTGGCCTGAAAACTGTTAACTCCAAAAACAACTGATGCACAGGAGGAACAATCAATCGATCAGAACATCTCAACCACTTGAGTATTATTATTAGGAACATGTGCTTTGCTTAGTAAGCCAGGCTTTTTCTTTTCATGTGTCACTGTTCTCCTTGTTACAGTTTACTCTTGTTTTAATGGAAAGGTGCAAATAAGCACAATATACTATTTCAACTTCTACTTAAACATCATCAAATTTTATGAACATTTTTAGTTTACCACCTAATTTCTTGGTGAAATCTATATTCACTAATGTCTTTGATACTTTTTATTGATAGGTATTGTACCCAATTATTTAATAAAGTCAATATGTTTATGTAAATTACCTAAAATTGCATCTTTCTTTCCAAAATACATTCTACACCTCTTGTGAAAAGCCAGTGCACTATTGCCCCCACCTCTGGAGCAGGATTACAATTACATGGCTGAATGGTGCCTTTCTATAGAGCCACAAAAGGCAGATCCGGCTGGTTGGGATGGAAACAGAGACAAGGAAAAGGAGGGAGTTACAATCCTCAGACACAAACAACAAACACAACAAACCAAATACTACCAACTGACTTCTCCCACATACATTTAGGATACGCTACTGCTCAGGGGCATTGGGACTTGACTACAGCATCAAGGGAGTTTTGCTGATTTCTTTTTGCCTGAACTGTTTGTCACTATGTCGGCTGTGACCAACCAGCCTCGTCCCTTCGGTCACCTGGAGCGCGAGAAGCACATTGAAATGATTTTTAGGACTTTCCAAAACAGAAATGGAACTTCATGTGAGTGCCTTGTTGAGTCTGCCAGACCTCACAATAAGAGTACTTGTTGGGAATCTCAGGAGGAACTTTCAAAAAACAAGAATGAACCAAAAAAACAGAGACAAGAAGATAAGAGGCCTGCAGGTGCTCAAGGGATTGACTTGTCGATTTTGGATCTGGTTGAGCAGTTTCATGTGAATGCTAGACCAGAGTTACAAGGTAAACCATGATACAAATGAAAACGTTTGGCTGAAATGAGCAAGTCTCTCAAACTATAGTGTTTCAGGTCCTCACTGTGTCCCCAGGAGGGTGTACAGTATATCTGCCAACAGTGACAGGTTGGACCTGCTTGTAGCTATAGAAGGTAGGCCTTCATGAATGCTTTTGTTTATCAAATGTAACTTCTAAAACTTTTTTTTCCATTTTCTTGGTAGAGAGTTCATGTTTATGTCTTCAGTGTTGTGGCCCAGCAAGAGCCTGCTCACTGAAGGGTATTGACAGTGAAGGTCATCATGTCTTTTATTTTGAAAGACCCTTCAGAATGGATGCGTGTTGTTTAAGCTGCTGCCTTATGGAAATGAGGGTCTATACAGCCCAAAGGCAACTCATAGGAACTGTATGCCAACGGTAAGTAATGTTAAATTAGGATATCAAACTAGGTTTTCTGATCCTGCAGTATTATGAACAGTGACAAACAAGTCAGTCATTGAAACAACCACAACTGAAAGATGCAATTTATTCACCTGTTTGCCTCATTGTGTGATTTTCAAACTGTTGTTAGATTAGTTCCATGCAGCTCTGTGAGGTGATGTATTTGGGGAATAACATTTTAAAAATGCATTCAATTGAAAATTAGTTGTGAAAATTTTAGACGACTGTATTGTTACAACTTGATTAAGTTGGGTTATCTTTGAAGCTGCAGTTTTCAAGTAAGTAATGATTAGCATCAAATGTGGTTAAAAAAAACATTTAAATTATAACAGGGGACTCACATGATGGAGGAAGGACTGAGATTACACAATGCATTTGTTTTGCCAATGGCTTTATATTTATTATAGGCATATAATACATGTTCATTGGCTCATGTGATTGCTTGCTTGGTCTGATCTGTATGTGTACAGAATACAGAACATTGGTTTTGCGTTAGAAAGAAGATGTAATATTTTTCATTCCCATGCATGCCTTTTGTTCTATGAGAGCTTTCTTATCCACATCTCTGGCCACTCATTGCTATAGTACTCGCCCAGCCTGTCTCTAAATAGCACAGAGTGCCTGTAAAGTCCCACACTGCAGGGCTGTGGTCTAAACCTGGGGGGTGAAAGCAATACACAGCTGTCTGCCCAGAGCCACTGGAGGAATGTGGCATCCTTTCTTTGGGGAATGCTGGCCTGTGACCGCGCTGGCCTTCTGCATAGTCCAACTAATTCTTTATCTGATTTTTGCTACCCAACCTGTGTTTGTCCCTTTGATTTAAAGGTTGTATAGAGGATTTTCCAAGGAACGAGAAATCCAGCGACTGTTTGTCCTTTTTCAAATGTTGCGCATGACCTCTCAGGTCAGTCATAATCAGGTGATTTTAGGTTAGAAGCCTATTTGAAACAAATATTCCCTTAGTTGTACTCAAAAAAAGCAGGGCACAAATGGAACTCCTCAACACCAGAAGAACAATGATTTTGGGGCTGCAGAATGATGACAGTTGAAAATGTGGTTAACTGAGCATCTACGCTGACCTCTACTGTGGGTGAGGCTGTTGCCACAGTGTGCACGCTTGATGCCAGCTTACATAAATGAATTGTATCAAATTACTGTTGTTGGATTGAGATTGGGCTTTTGTCAAATGGCTGTTGACAGGTGGAGCATGTTCACCCCTCTTTTAGAAGTATGTGATGCAAGTGGAGTGGCGACACTCAGACTTCAAGGCCCTTGCTGTCCGTGTCGATGCTTAACCAACCAAGAGTTCCAGGTATGTACTTCGAATTAAAATAAATATTACTAATAAATCGAAATATAAAATATATGAAATAAACAAAATACTAATCAAAATTAACTTCAGATTATGGCAAACACTGGGGACAGAATTGGAACGATATGGAAGAAGTGGCCAGGTTTTAGTGTTCAACAAAATATGGACCATGAATATTTTGGATTAAATGGTGAGACTATATTTCTCTTCTATGCTCCTTATTCCATGACTATTATATTTGCCATTTCAGTTCCACAGAATATGGAGTCAGAGACAAAACTTATGTTGTTGGGGGCAACATTTCTTTTGGTAAGTTTTTTTCCTTCTATTTTGATTGTGCAAATGTCCCATCTTGTAAAAATATTTAAAATAAAAATTCTGTTTACAGAGCTATATGTACTTTGAAATGAGCTAAAAAGAAACTGCTACAACCCAACTGGAGATAGTGGACTTATAACAAAATTCAGCAAGAAATTCTCAGGTGATATTAAAAAAACATGCATGGGAAGAGCATGCACGAGGGTATCTATCAAGTAAAAAACTAATGTTGGAGACAAAAATGTCTGAAAGAAACTGCATATTTGACATTTCTTGGTATAAATCTCGTCTTTTTATTAAACTCTGACAACACTTATCACTTGCTGGGCTGCATTGTTTCAGCTGAATTTAGACATTAATCTCAAACATGTGTCTTGACTAAAATGTTATGTAGTCTCTCAGTAATTTCTACAAAATATAAAAATCATTTTCAGACCATTTATATACAACAGTTAAAGTTCTCTTCATATTCATAAAACCATGGCAAAGACAAAACAGCTGAAGAGAAACTGGTTTTGAGGCAAACACGAGAACTTCTGCCAGCTCAGTCTCTCTTGTGAATCGACTTCAGGAAAGAAAATATTAAGTCAATTCAATAGTCTTTGAATGGACTGCATTTACAAATACAGTGGGTAATACACAAGTATTTGCAATACCTCTTTGAACAAATATATTGTAAATAAATTTCATCATAATAAAATTGCATGTAGCTGCAACCCTGCTTGAGTCCCAATAAAACAGATAAAGTCTAGACATGAAATGTGATGTTAAACAATAAATGGCATGTAGATGAACATGTTGGTTCTGATGTATTTTGTCAAGTGCACTTCGATCACATGTACAGCTCAGCTAACAGCCAGCTCATAGCCTCCCTCTGGTGGCAAGTTCAAAGATGTGTAACTTGCTTTACAAAAGCTGGGAGACTAAGGCTGCTTTAGTTGCTCAGCTATTAGATGTTTCTTGTTGACTTGGTTCAGTCTGTCATCTGCTGAACTTTTTTTTTGGTTTTGATACAACAAAGACTCGTCTTCTTCCAGTTCTAACCTTCTCAAGTCTTTATGCAGTGCCAGTCCATGCAGAAATATTCTTCGGGCTTGCAATCCCCCAGAACCTCGCAAATGTACACGCCTACCCGTCAAAAAACATTAATATAAGCAAAGACATTTAAACATGCATATTTTTGTTAAAGTAAAAAATAAAAAAATACCATTGTTATCGACCGCCACTAGCATTCACCAGTCCATGGAAGTCTTCCCATGCTCTGCAAAGACAGCCAACGTGCAAATGTATTAGTGTGTCACTATAAGATGTAAAATTTATCAGAGGTAATCATGGCAAGATAAAACAACTTAATATCTTAAGAAAGAGAAGAAAGACAGAAAATAATAAAACAGGTTAGACATACATACTTAATGCTGTCTGTATGGGTCTTATACTCCATTATAGTGTTGGGAGGAAGGTTCAGAACTCTACGAAGGGTATCTCGAATTCGGGCAGTGGTCGCTTGGTCACTAGCAGTTTTGTTCCAGATAGAAATAATGTCCTCCTGACAAAAAAAATTAAAAATTTACACAACACAAGGTCAAGACCAAAGATAAAATAATGTAATTAATATTACCTGGAACCGAACTGAAACTACAGCACCACAGATTTCTTCTCCAACCATAAACTGTTCACCCAGCATTGCTAGAATGAGGTTCTCCCAGCATCGAGATGCCAGACCTTTCCTCAAACGTATGATCCATTTGCCCCCCATCTTGTTGGCATCATCCTACATACAACGATGTTTGTGAAAAAAGCAACTGAGACATTTTAATAATATATTCCAGAATAATCGAGTGTACCTCCCACATAGGTTTTATTCCCTCTTTGAAAAGGTGAAAGTCACTGTGCCCTGTTAGGTCACCGGGTCGAATCATGTGACTGTAAAACCGCCAGAACTGCTCCACCTAAAGAACAATTTGGATTAACCAGTAGACAACATCAGGTGTTTTTCTTAAAAGCGTGTAGGTGGTTAACGGACCGAGGCAAAGCTGCCAATCTGTTTGATATTCTGCTCATAGCTTTGTGTGCTGGCTGGTCTCCCTGGAGTGCGTCTGGAGTACCAGAAAGTGTAGTTGTACTGCAGAGGATGCTCGCCTGCACCTGGAACCACCATCTACAAACAAAAGACACGTAAGCCTACATAGTAATTCTTCACACTATGTAAACAAAGAATCAATCACCTTTTTCTTAGAGATGTTCTGTTCCTTTTCTTCGTCTTCAATTTTTTCCTTCTCACAGTCTTTCGGTGGGCCTTGGTCCTGGTCGTGGTCTCCACTGTCATCGTCTTTCAAACTGAAAGACAGTAGTAAATCTGATTAAAAAATAACAATAAAAAACTTTTTGTGCATCGGCCATCTGAGTATGCTATGCATTTGTTCACTTTTCAGTTGCTGCTTCTCTACAAAACTTTGGTTTGTTTTCTGTTTCGTTTGAATAAATCAGATTACCAAGTTGTTAAGTTGTATATTTAAAATACATGTGAACAACCTCATACACTGCAATATTACATATTACAATATACATATGGTGCACTCTAATGTAAAGGTATGATTTATTTAGCATGCTACATTTTCATCATATGTACTCTCATCCAAAGGCAGCATTTACTGAATTAATTGATATTTAAGGGTACCCCACATACTGTATTAAATTATTATTGAGAAGACGACATACTACGAATCAAGGCTATCCATGTAAGCGGGTTTCAAGCTAACATACGGCTAACTCGTGTCTCCGCAAAATATCGTGGCGCTTTCACCGCTCGTTTTACACCATTAGGCCGAGGCTTCGGGGCCTATCTTCCTCCTGCTAAGCTAAAGCTAACAACACTGGCTTTCAGGATAGATCCAAATGTACATGTGCTAGCAGCTATTGTCGTTGTGTAAGCATTTGTTCTCACCTCTTTCCCATGTTGAATTCGAGACTAAAACCAAATTTGTAGATCCAAGCTACATATGACACACCTCTTTAGCATGCAGCTGCAGTTGTTGGAATCGTAAGCTATCTGATGACCTGTCTTTGTAACAGGAAGTCACAGGAAGCCCGCTCTTCGAAAGAAATCACACAAATACAATCGGTTACTCACGCGTCAAATTTGTTGTTCATAATTTTCTAGGTAAATAATTTCGGAGTCCAAACACAGCCTCCTGGAGTCCGACGGAACGGGAGCGCGCATTACGGAAGCGCGCATGCATGCTTGGGGATCACTACCCTCCGTACTCAGTACTTGGTAATCTTTACTCAGTACTCAGCAGGAGTGTCGCAGTATTCTGATCTCTCTGTACTCAGCTGAAGTGTAGTAGTATTTTAATCATGTGGCGTTACAACATTTATCAATAAACAGAACGAAGAGACAGAAAGTTCAGAGTTTTATTATTATTCAGAGCCACACATTACAAAATATTATAATTAACAAAAACTCAAATAATCGGTTTAGGGATCATTTTCAAAAACACTGTTCTAATATAGGCAGTAAGGTAAACTCATGGATCTATACTTTACAAGGGTAAGATTGATGGCCCCGCTGTTGCAACAAAACAGTATATAAACCTAATGAATAGAGGAAAATGGGAGGACTGCTTTGGCATGGTATGGCACGTTATGGTGTCGTTTTGTTGGCTCTCCTGTTTGAGACCATCAGTCGCCCCATGCCCCCTGTGCCTCTCATAAGAGAGGACTTTGTTCTTGGCCAGAAAGCGCACCAGTGAGTGAATGGGCAAGAGCAGCAGCAGGCCCTTCAATGGCGGCTGTTTGTTTACACCAGCCAGTCCCGTCATAGCTCATTAGCAGCCCAGCCCACCGACAGCCTCTGATGTCCTAATGGCTGATAAGTGTGTGACTGCCCACAGTCCAGAGCCTCAGAAACTCTTGATAAAGAGGCTATGAGTACCGACATACATTCTCACTAATTTTGCTTGCATTCCTCAACATTCATGGTACACATGCACACATAGACATGCACACAGTGCTGGGCTGGTAAACATGGACTGAAGATATAGTTCTTTCATCCTGTGCCAGAGGCCATAGTGAGGTTAGCCGACATCATTGGAGGAGCTGTCGGCACTAATTCTGCATCAAAGACGTACAAGATATCTGCCGCAAAGAGACAAGCAAAAAATTATGATTTAATGCCGTAAATAAATGTTTCAAACACTATACTACTTGGGTATTATATACCCAGTCCAGCATTTTTTTTGTTCCTGAATCAACTAATTTCCAAAACAAAGGCAGCTATCAGTGGATCACTACTTGAAACCCCTTGATTATTTATAGTACTATAATTGACAATTAACAAACCTCTTGAATGGCCTTTCCAAGTGTCTCTTGACATCTCACCACTTTCCTGAAATAGCAATAGGTAAAATGTGCCTGTAGAAGTGAAATAACATTTTTATCTGCAATCCAGTCCTACCTGTGTACCCTACGAGATATGCAGATGGTGAAGTTGGCAGGACAGTCAGGCTCGTATGTTGACGGCACAATGGTGTACACTCCAGGAGTAAGACTGCACGGTAGGGCCACAACCTGGTTGTAGCAGTGAGGAATACAGCTGGCTACAGGTTCATTATTTTTTTGAGACTTGGCTTCAGGTATACCATCTTGGGTCTAAAAAGATTTAATATTGATAGTATATTAGTATAAAATAAATATAATTATATTGGATTAGAATGCATCTAATTCCACACTGGACTACTGTATTTCTACTGATTGACTCACCTTGTAGACATGAAAGCCAATTGGATGTAAACTGTTTTCAGGTTTTTTTTGATGTAATGTGATTCTGATATTGACTCCTGGAATCTGCATGGTGTCATTGCACACACTGAACAGGAAGTGCGGGTTACACCAGTGAGAATGGAAATTCCTGCTTCCTCCTGCAGTGCTTCCCTTGACCCAAGCTCCCTGAAAGTAACTATTGTCCCATTCTCCTCCGAGCGTTAATGGCAGTGACAGTGCTGTGCTTTTCAGTGTACTGTGGAGTAACCAAAATTTTAATTTATCGTAAATTATAAGTAAAAATCAAAACAGTTGTACTTTTAAGAAGTAAGGACATGTTTGCAAAACTTTGACAAGTTAGAACTCATGTGGTATTTTATTACCTGAGAGAAGTGGATGAAGAAGAGAAGACCCTTAGGAGAAATCGGGCCTCAGCTTCTGGCTGGTAGGTGCTGGGGATCATAAGGTAGTATCCAGGCTCTAGCTCCTGATGGAGGACCACTTCTCTATCATAAGCATGGCAGTGAGTAGAAGCAAATGGAGCTGTATTTAACACTCGTCTCAAATTAAAACGCCTCTTCTCCACCTAGAAAAAAGAAGAGGATAATAATTATTCATTGACAGGTAAGTCTTCATGAAACAGTTCTGCTAACTATACAACTATGCAAACCTTCCAAATGTGCAGGGCAATAGCTTGGTAATGCTGGTGCTTATTCATTCTGAGGTCTTCAAATAGCATGTGTACCGATTTGTCCACCCTCTTATTTTCTTTATGCTGCAGGAGTGCTACCAACACCTCGCCTCTTTCTCTAACTTTGAGCCAGTACTTTGGATTGGTGCTGTAGCTACTGCTGTTCCTACTACCACCAGCAGAGCATCCCTTTATCCACTCACCAGCCAGCTGGTGACGGTGTAGTAATATGTGTCCTGCAAAATCAGCCAATGATGACTAAACAAAAAAGTAATATTTCATTTACAACTAAAACATGCTTAAACAAATACCTGAGTATATGCTTATAAGGTGTCCATTCTCATCAACTTTATATCCTGCAATAACATCATCAAACATATATACAAACTCTTCCTCATCCAACCAGAATTCCCCTTGTGAAATTCTTGCTTGCAAATCCACTGCACATAAAGGATCAAGAGAACTCCAACTATGTCCACTGCAATGCAAGATATAAATAACTTTTTCAAAGCTCAAATGAGAGACAAGCACACAAAAAACATGCTAGACTAACCCTTCACCCCAGGACCCAGTCCAAGAGCATCTGCCCCACGGATTTCTAATCCGGAGAAGATGGACTTTGTCTCCTGACACGGTGCTCACTTCTAGCCACTCTAAAACAATTAGGGCATGATACTGACCAAGCTCATTGGCCTCTTCAACTGTAAAGTTTAAACAAGAGGTAAGTAATAACACAAAGACCTGTATATATATTTTTTTTAAACAATTTCAGTGTTGCCTTCTAACCTGCTGTCCTGCTGTTAATGGAGCAGCTAAGTATGCAGTTATCCTTCCCAAACTTCACAAGGTCTGGTCTTCTTCTGACCAGATCTGTGTCTTGTTGTTTATCATTCTCTTCTTCAGTTCCAATGGCACCCAAACTCCAGTGCTCAGCCAGGCCACCAGTAAGATCAACCCAAGCCTCAGATACTTGTCCTGCCCAAAGCCTCTCATAAGAGCCATAGAGCCTGAAAGAGAAGGGAGAGAGAGAGGAAACAGCCTATTAGTAGATAGTTACAAACCACCAAATGTATATATAAGTTAGTAACTTCTCACTTGGCATAGGCTTTTTCCAACAGTGCTACCCAAAAGGAAGTTGGAGAAAGGCACCGAGAAAAACATGGTTTTAAGTCAATACATGGCAAGAGGTCATCAATGATAACATCTTTCCAGTGACCATACTGCCAAAAACAAAAATGAAAAAATCCTTTGTATCCACTGTCTCCCCATGTAGGTTGGTCTGGCGGAATCACCTACAGAGTTAAGATATTATTAAGATCACTGACATCATACCACTAAAGGAAATGTGAAAATATAATTATTCTTTATGGAACCTTGTTTAGTAAATGTTTGTTTTGCAGTAAGACTGTGCAGGCACAAAGAAGCCAGCAGTCTCCCAATAAACCTTGCTTTGCATGACCCAAGCTGATATCTTGAGGGAATAACTCTGGTGACTGGCAGATCTCCTGAATTACAGAACACACAGCTCATGACTTACAACGTTTCAGGTGGATTTAGACAGTAAATCCTATGTTATAAAGTATTTATAAAAATAACTATTATAATTGTTTATCCCTGAACTGCAGCTAACCTGGGGACGCATCCAGGTGACTTTGCCCTTCAGTTTAATGATGGGAGTGGAGCAATCTGACAACAGGGCTGAGTCATCTGCAGGAAATTCCGAGTCCACAAACAAACCCGCGTCTTCATCTGCAGCCTTCCCTCCTCTCTCCATGGCTTCTTCAATAAGCCCACCCACGGAGAGCCCCTAGATCAGTGGATGAACAGCTAGGATCACCATCTCGTCCATGTTACACTATGGGGCAGAGAAAAAGTGAGTATGTGCGAGTATAGGAAAAGGCTAAACAAATCAACGTTAGCGTATTACAATTACTCCTACCTCCCTCTTGTCTAGCATAGGTCCTCCTCCATCAAAACATAAGCTAAGCTTTAACTCTGTTTACACTAGCTAAATGCAATTAATGATCTCCTCATTGTAATGTTGCCAATCTCGTTAGATAGTCTTACGAGAACCCTCAAATAAATTATTCAGCGGGTTGCATGAGTATTCTTCAAGGCATCACAACACATCTCTGCTGCTGCCTCAAATCTTTTCCGCTCATCTGTTTCACTCATGTGGTGAATCCTTCCTGTGCTCTGAAACACTACCTCCGCCTAGTGGTAATAGACGATATTACACGCAACCAGGCTTGGACTTTTTTATTGAGATTTGTGGTGAAACACGTGTGTTCAATTTTTTATACAATATATATTTACATATAGTCATATTAAAGCAAAGAACATGCACAAACTCAACACACAACATTAACATAAAATAGACTTGATAAGATAAGATAACCTTTATAGATCCCAAAGGAGAAATTCCAGTGTTCAAGAACCACAGGAGAATTGGAATGTGCAATCAGATGTGAAGAAACTATTAAAAACATGTTTTAACTATGATATTATGACTGAGGCCGATCACTCAAATGATCCGATGTTCATAATAACCATAACCCTGGCATTTACAGCCTGCACTCTAGAATGAAACTGTATTTTAAATAATGACCATTATTTGGGGCAACATAAAACACGTTTTTTAGATTTGAGCATAATGACGTGTGGAATATCCCTCAAAAGGGATGTTAACTGGGGTATTTCCAATGCATAAATCCAATCCTAAATCAGAACAGTGTGAGCAAGGGAATAGCTCCAAATTTAATTAAATTTTAGCATTCAGCATTTTATGATTAGGCGTAAGATTCTTGTAATTTTTATGTTGGGGTTTCTTGACCTAGAAATGGACCCTCTCTCAAACCTCACCATGACATACTGAGAGCAGCCCACAACAAACATTTGCACTTTGATGTTAGAAAAGAACTGCTGCTTACATAGTTATCATTTAGTCTTAAAATAAGTTATAATAAAGATTAACTGACCAATAAGAACCCAAAATATTAGTTCAGATAATTTTCTTCTTCCACTGATCATAGCTAAAAAAGAGAAAAATCACTGTCAAAAGCTGGTTATGTCAAAATGAAAGAGCAGATTTTGAATGAAGAGAAATATCATACTGTGGAACAGTTTCCATGGCCCTAATCACCCAATCGCTGACAGGGTTTGCACACAGCAGTTTAGTTCCCATTCCTTGTTTTTTAGGTACTACTGTTTGGAAACTGTAAACACAATGCAAAATATTTAGTTGCATTTACTTCGGCAAAAGGTAATACTTTAACCAATATTTACTCACATTATGGCTCTGATGTGACATAACTCTGTTATATCTTGAACGATGTAATATATCAGTGCTTTTCTGGGGGGTCTAATTGGATCATATGTTGTGCAGCATTTACTTGAACCTGAAAATGAGAAAATATTTTAGGATTGCATTATACAGAGCTCTCCACTTTCAGTTATCTATTTCAGTATCAAACATAAATTCATACTCACTGCTTTCCCCAAGCATCAGAATCACCATCATCATGGTTGCACACACAGACAGGTTGGCCATGTTTCATGAACGACTTACTGTCACGATTAAAATATTCGACCTCATGGAGGGACTTAAATACTTGGCAACGGAAACCTCAGTGTATAATCTAAACCAATCTTTTACGTGACCTATTATAAGTGAAGTTGTGGTCAAAAAGTCCCTTTTAAGTAGAACAGATCGCACAGTTAAGATGGAGAAGATAAGAAATACAAAATGGGTTGGAGGCAAAACTTTTGATACATACAGCATTGCCCAATGCAAACTTCAACAACTACACTGTCATAAATGCAATGACACCCAAAATGAAACTTGGGTGTAAAGGTACTATTTTTAAAAATGGAAAGTCAGTGAGTGCTATAAAACTTGGTTGGGTTGGAAAGTTTAATCAAGCAATTTTTGTTCTCTATGGCCTACTTAATGCTAAAATGCGTACATGTTTCTCTTGTTGAGGTTTCTTGACCTAGAAAAGGACCCCCTCTCTCTAACCTCATGTCAAGTCTCGGAGCAGCCTACCGTAAATGCAATTATGCACTTTGATGTCAGATAAGAACCCTGACAAAAACTCAATGATGTTATCTACTTATATATCATTTAAGTATAGTCTTAAAACCAAAAAGGGTGTGACAGCAGTTGACTAATTGATTAGTAAGTGTCAAAAAAAATTAGATCAGTTTATGTACACTTTCAGATTGCCAATAATTCACAATTTAATTAAAAAGACCATAATTTTTAATTATTAATTAAATTTTATTTTATTTTATTTTTTGAAGATGTGATGTATGAAACAAAACATAATCTCCCATCGCTATCCATACTTCTCTATGTGTGTTAAGAATGTGTTAGACTTAGGGAAATTATTTGGACACAGTAGCTCCTCACATCACAATATATTATAATAACAAATAGAAAAATATAAATGGTAATAATAAATTAAAAATAAATGGCAAAAATAGAAAAAGACTGGTGTCATATATCACATAATTATACCATTGTATGTGTAAGTACAAATAAAAATATAGAAATGTGGGGAAATAAAAATCTATCTTGGCTATATACAAGTGGTCAATAAGCGAAACAGTGCAAAGATGAAATAGTGATTGACATGACATTGTGTTATGTGTTACATAAAGGTGAGTTGTTGTAAAGTTGTATGTAGGCTATTATGGTAGGAATGTAGTTGTGTACCTCTCAATGTTTGAGCTGTATGGAAATGTCTTTTAAAAACTACTGTGGATTTGATCTTAAATAGAAATTCATAGATGAATGTGTTACTGGAAAGCACAAGCAGTTTGCCCTGGGGCATTTGTGACTCCAAAAGTAGATCTTAAAAACTGATTTAGTGTAACTGAAGACAACTAAATATATACAGTTTATTAATAAGTCACTTAGTCAGTAATAAGAATTCCTCAGAATGCTATTGCATCAGTTATCTAAAAAGACTACAAATTTATTCAAAATCAGAATCAGAATCAGAAGACGTTTTATTGCCATTGCTGGTGAGCAAAATTCACAAACTAGGATTTTGTATGCTTCAACGTAATAGCAAATAAAATATAAATTATGATGAATTATGAGAAAATAAATTATTTGAATAAAATAAACTGTATGTGTAGTATGGACCCCCCCAAAAAAGTATATATATATACTTTAATATAGCATTGAAATTTTGCATTCTCATTCCATCTTGGTCATGGAGAGGGGAAAAATAGGGGGGGTTTGGTTAAATTGTCGATGTAGGCACAACTGGAAACTTCTGTTCTCTGTGTGCATATAAAGAGAGATGCTTCTCCTCTCCCCCTGTACACTTTGCAGACAAGATGGTTTCAACCAGCCCCCAGATCTCACTACTCCTGCTCTCAGCTCTGTGCCTCTTTTCTCTCAACACTTTCTATGCATCTGGAGGTAAAAACACTTCAAAATAGTTTCAACTTTTTAATGTTTAATGTTTTCTTTCAATAATCAGTTCTTTACTTCCCCACAGCATATATTCCATGTTGCAGAAAGTACTCTACAATGAAAATACCCTTTAATTGGATAAAAGGTGTGTCTATTCAAACAGACAAAGAGTACTGTAACATGAATGCTATTATGTGAGTATTTTTTTAATATATATTTATATTTATTATACTTAATTAAACCACACTTTATTAATGTTATGTATGTTTGGGTGCAGTTTCCACACAAAAAAAGGAATGGTATGTTTTAATCCGGCTTCAAACTGGGTGATGGATTATGTAAACCGTTTCAGGTACAATACTGTTCAGATTTTAAAAAGTTATTACACCTACATTTTGTCTTAACTGATAACCTTTACTTATATTTCAGGAATAAAGCGCAGCTGGTTCACATGAGAACCACTCACAAATAGAAAAGATATTTGAATGTGTCACTCTGATCATCTGTAAAGTGTATTTTGTTCATTGGTCAATGATTTGTATATAGTAAAATGTTTTAATATGAAATACTATGTATTCTTTATATATTTTAATAAATTAAACAAGATGTTTTTGTGAGACCAGTTTTTGCTTTTGGCAATTAGTATATAAAATACATTCCCTGCATCCATCCGTCCATTTTCTTCTGCTTTATTACTTAATGTTTACTTACCTTGTTTCTTGTAGCAAAACATAAATTATCACAAAAGTTTTAGACTTGAGCATTGAGCTTGTATAGACGGACTAGGACCCTAACACCTGATTAAACACTAGATGGCAGCAGAATCTCATAATAAAGAATTAGTCTACAATAAAAGGGCCAGAACATGTGGAAATATTTATTATTATTATGCGAAAACGAACATTTCACACACAAGCGTGCTTGCGTGACTTCATATTAACAAACAAAGAAACAAACAAAACCTTTTTATTATTTCAGTCAATTCTTGATTCTTGGGCAGTTGTCAGTTTGTAGTGAAGATCCATAGACCTGGCCTTGCCCACCGTGTATGTCCCGTCCGGGCCTTGAGGCGCATGAATCTGTCCTAAACTGCTTTAAGGCCATTGACGCCGACAGCCGCGATTACATCACCTCCACTGTTCTGCACCACTGAACTGAGAGCTTTGCTATGAATAATACACGTGGAGAGGCAACTGCACCGAGCCGTAAACGACATCAAAAATGGTGTTTGATAAAATTTAATAATGACAAGATACTCAAATGTTCTATTTAAAATAGGCTTTATTGAAATGAAACAACAAATACAACCTAGTAGAAAAATTCAAAAAGTTGGACCAATGCATTAAACGTGTGATTGTGTGAATGTGTTTCACGTTCAGTGGTTCACTAGGGTTTGTTCTTTCAGTAGGCGCCTATAGCTTTATCTAAGCTTTTCAAATGTGCATAGATAGTCATATAGGCTATTTATTTTCACGTTCTCGATTTTTACATGCAGTGCCAGTACCACGCATGACTTGTGTATCGAAATCATTTCATGTAACACATACGTTAGGCCTACTTATTAACACTAGTAACTACTTTTCACTTCCTTAAAAATCTTTGCTAATTTTGCTAAAAGGAATAAATTATGGCTCTCTGATGTTGGTTTTCAGAGTCTAGGGTGTGATGATGTCATACTCTCACAAGGGGGACATTGGACACTTGTTGGCCACTACTGATCACATTGTACTTTGCCATGAAATATCCAAAAAATAACTGAACTCAACTGAACAAAAATGTTGAACTCACTGTACATAACTGTACACAACAAGAATATAGATTTTAACAATATTCATTTCGGCTTCACCCATCTGTATTAAATATTATTGGTCTGTAGAATGCTGAGATGTCATCTGAAACTGACATAACGGCCTACATTTCAAACAATTAATTTAATTTTATAGGCCATGTTTAGAACTGATCTATGACACATTTCACACTAGAGACAGCCATTTGGTTCTAGACGGTCAGAGAAGGTTATAGACGTTTTCCCATGATGCTGTGGGGCGTCAGTGTAGCAAGCATTATAACATATTACACCCTGAGATCAGCAGACAGGTCTTCTATCATCGTAGCACACACACACACACACACAAATAATGAGCCATCCTCGATCATAGGTGAAAACAATTCGACTTCACTATTAGCTCTTCGCCTTTGTCCCAGCACATTTGCAGCTGGAGCGTCACACAAAACACACTTAGTGATCATTTCCTTTAGTGCTATAATCTTTCTGTCCTTTGTTCTGACTTGTCACTCATTCACGCATTGCCAGATACACAGTTAACGCAGAGATAACCGAGCCCGCTGTATAATTAGACAAACAAAAAAGAGAGGGATGAAACGTCTAAAGGAGAAGAGACTCCAAATGATTACACATTCACTCTGCTTCCTTCCCCCTTGCACACACAACCACCAATTAAAGCCGTGGAGAGGAGGATGAGGACAAGCTCAGAGCCAGAATGCTATTTGTGTCTCTATCTGCCCCTGAACATTGGAGAGGACACGAGAAGAAGTACAGAAAATAGGAAAACTAAGACGTATACAACACAAAAGAAAAAAATAAAATCACCAATGTAGTCAAACATCTTGTAGTTTAGGGGTAAATGCTATTTCTGTTGAACCACAAATCCTTAAATAATTTTAGGAGAAGAATAGGTTGAATTCTCTGCACTAGAATTTGATGATGTCATGCTTTCAGATGAAGGGCAGGGGCTTAGGTAGTAACTATGGGAGATTTATTGTTTTTGGAAGAAAAAAATTATGATCCACAGATGTTGAACCTTGTCATTACTGTTCTCTTCTTTCTTCTCCTCTTGGCTTCACAAACTTACCATTTTAATTCTATGGTTTACAGTGGTGTTTTTGTTTTTTGTTTTGTTTTTACACATTACCAATCAAATTTTGGGGTTTGAATAATGCTATAGGAGACACAAGACTTTATGCCAGCTTTTGTTTCATGTGGATAGGCCCAGTAACTACAGAGATATTAACCATAAAGCAGCTATTTTAAACTGTGGGCTTTCTAAATGCAACATACTGATAGCTAGTTTTTGCCCTTATATGTGAAAGGTTTTGATAATGCCTTCAAGTCCAAAAAATACTGTATGAATAAAAAACATAAGAAAGATTTGTACACAAACCTCCTGTCAGATCCTTCCACTGTGGCCTGGTGTGCAAAAAAGTTAATGCATTATGAGTTAGAGCTGGAAATTAGCTTTGGCTACAACAAAGTACATGTTTTTCTTTTGCATTATCTTGTCTTTTAAATTGCATTGTCCCTTTGATACACAAAAATTTCTAGATCAGATATCGGATTCCAAGTATTGGTTGAACCAGTTTGGAGGTTTACTGATCGTAGTTGGTCCAGAAAGAATTTTTTCTTATGCAAAGCTGTTCTGTAGTTAGTTGATAACAGCTACATAACACATTTAGATCAGTTTTGTCTTATTTTATTTTTGTCTAAAAGAAGTCAATGCAGTTTTCAGTCTCTGCAATGGTATTGGTTGACAATAACAGATACTTAAATTCATAGTATTTGAATTTGTATTGGGACACAAACAGATGGAGTGGTGCATCCCTAATATTAATCTGCATCCAGGCCTCTATTTTCAAAAATAAAGACACATTTTAAGTTTACAATAAATCTACATTTTTACACATACTTCACTTACCCATTGAGATGACTGTCCGTGGAGTGAGTCATGCAGATCTGGGCCACAGTTGCACTCATTGTTCAGTGAGCTTTTCTACACAGTCCAACCCAGCGACAGCAATGAATGTTGATTGTGACCCTTGCTCTTTAGCTGCTGTGGCATCTCGTAGCCTCTTCTTCTTCTGCGTGGGCTTTTTGATGCCAGAGTTTATGCATTCTGTGACATCAGGGCCTGGTCACGGGGCACAGTCAACGGTCGATGGTTTAAATGTGATTCATACAAAACTCACCGACAGCGTTGAATGTTCACCGGGGCAGGCAAAGGGAGAAACACGAGATTATCCAAGCATTTACCACCTGGAAGTCTTCAATCCAACGGCCTCTGAAACATACAATAACATAGATGTATTTCTCATGAACTAGAGGGCCAGTATTGATCTCATTACACAAACAGTAGTATTCTGCCTAAATGTCACTGGGATCTTTGGAATTGAGAATTAAGTTGCTAAAATGAACAGAAATGTACATTTCTTTATTGTTTGTTGTTTATTCTTGTAAAACCACACATGATCATTGTAATACTATGCATTGCTATTAAGGCAAAAGTATTCTTCCATCCACCAATCCATCCATGAATTTCTTTTGAGATGAATAAACTAACTAGCTCTTTAATCTCAATCTTTAATAAGCTTAAAACAAAACCTTATAATGATTTTAGAGTACATGTTAGAATTGCTTATGTAAAACAACCAATACCCATGCTTCAGTTCCTCCAGGCGAGTAACCCAGGGAACAATGCAGTGCTGTCCTGCTACACGCCTGGGCCCTCTCTGCACAGAGCCTCAGAGCTCCCATTGTGAGTGAGCAGCCCTTAGAGATGGATGGGGCAACCACCAGAGACTGTCACTTTACTTTAGCTGCACAGTGCTGACGTCAGGATGCTCATACACTGCGTTCAAGGCACTGATGTCATTTGGAGGCTAGACCCACATTCATTACTCCACGTCAGTAATATCCATCGGACTATGCTGCCATAACTTCAAATGTCATCAAGAAGTGGCTATTTTTTTGTGGTTATTTTAAATTTAAATAAATTCAAAATTAGAGTAACTATTTACAGCCAAGTTGACACCTAATACATAAAAATGAAAATTAATTAAATATGCAACTTCAAGGTAGACTTATTGATCCACCAGGGAAATTATTTGGACAGAGTAGCTCACACATTATATTATAATAACAAAGTAAAAAAATCTATAAATGGTAACAATAAATTCTAAACAAGTAGCAAAAAAGATAGCAATAGACAATGTGATAAATAAGGCATAATTGTATACACTATACACCAGATATATAGTGTGACCTTAAAATACAACAAAATCATTATATTTATAGATTTGAAGCATGATTAACTCTACATATGTACATACACTCTCAATCCTGACTAGCTCTGGTAAGCTCAGCCATAACACTTACACCGCACAATAAAGACCAAAAATGAAAAATAGTCCAGGGGTCGAAAGAGCAGAGAACTGGGGGCTTCACCATGGCAACTCCAGTGTCAGCCAGCCAATTTGAGTTAATCCACCCCCCATCCAAGTCCGACCCATGCAGTTCTATGTCGCGCCCTCATCAGGACCCCCTCTCTTCAGCTGAATATTTCTTTTGTGTCCCAGGACTGTTGATTCTATAAGTCTATATGTGTCTGTAGGGATTGGGGCGTGAGGGTGAGGGGGGAGTGGAGGGTGAAACGGGAGGCTCGTAGTTAAGCGAGTTTAAATCCTGGGGCCAAAGGAACGATTGTGGTCACATTATTAGGTACAATTTGCACATATC